TTTTGTCCCTTATTTTATACATGTTACAAATCGTTTCTGTAAACTAGTGTCAATCGCAGTTAAAAACTTTTATTAGTGCATACACCTTCTGATGTGTATTATGGCTATCACCACCTGTGCACTAATAAGTTCAGCACGTGATGATAGCATGAGGCATACACCATAACGTAGCAAGACGGATGTTTAAAGATCAGTACAAAACTTTAGACAATTTTTCCAATGATTCCCTTGGTTCAGTGCACACATCAAAACGTAAGCTGATATTTTGCTAACAGCTTTTTTGATTCAGTCTAACCGAAAGGTAGTATACACTCAGCGATGGCAAAAGGGATAAAATATCATTCCGCCGTTTATGTAAAAAAAGCCAGGAGGTACAGACAGTTCTGTTCCAGACTCTGCCGTGGTTTAGTTCGCTCATTCGCACTGCGTAACCCGTAGATGGGTCGGCAGCTGTATAGCGACCGTAAGGTGCAGGCGTGAATCTCCCCAGAACTCGTGAGGTCTACATTGCTGATAATTTCCAAACAGGATGAAACCGAAACGCAATTCAACTCAGTTTTTCGGCATAGGACTTGCTCAACAGGATGAAGAGTCCAATAGGATCAGTAGCTCTCTACACTATAAGAAGTATTATTACAAATGAAAATTAAATCACCACGACGTGATACAGAGTGAAAATCATTACAAGGAATACGATAATTAACCGGTATGTCCATTTTTACATTTTAAAACGCCCATTGATATCACACTGCGGATAATTTAAGATAGAGTGGGGGAGAGACAGGAAACAGAAGACTGATTCCCAGGTCACAGAGAAGGTAACAAATGCTTCATTTGACCAATAAAATTCCCTAAATGAGAGTGTTTTGCCTCCTCGATAACACTTTTCATCTGTTATCTATTGAGACAAATAGGTCTTCGAATGGATCAAATGGGAGAAAACACTTTTGGAGTGAAAATAAACATGACAGGTTTCTCTGGAAATTAACATTCCGGTCATTCAGTCATCCTTGGCCTTGAAAATATCTACCCCTAGTAGTCGAAATATCCTATCACTTTATTTAGTGAATTCGTTGGACGATCGCCAGAATTTGCGCTATAAATGAATCATTCAAACTTCACCTTAAGCTGCATGACCAAATTTGCGGCTTTGAAAGCACATTATGCAACAGGGACGAGATGACTCAAGTGGTTAGGGCGCGGATTTACTGACCGGAAGGTCCTTGGTTCAAGATCAACCTCTGCTTTCCGAAATCCCCTGTCTAGGCTTGGGCAACCTGGCAGTATCCCAGCCCTCGTACTTCCTTCGGGTAGCAGGACATCTAGGCACTGGAAAGGTGTTACAGCTGAGAGATTTATTTATTTTTTTCATTCGGTCAAACCTGAGGTGAGACAATTGAGACGAATGGTTGAAACCAGCATCTCAAGGCAACTTGTCCATGGTCAGCTACAAAATGGAGTTCGAGATCGGAAAGATCTCCAATTTCGATATTGAGACGACCTTACACGTGCTCGAGATGCTTCGAGACACGATGCACTTCAGAGCTACAGAACGGCCCAGTTATCTGGTTCAGTCTCCCTAGTGCAACCTCGACCAAGTGGACCTAGGCAACAGACGGACTTCTGCGCGAATTCACTGACCGCAGAGTCCGTGGTTCAAACTTAACCTCTGTCTCTCAAATTCCCCTGTCTAGACTTGAGCAACCTGGCAGTATCCCAGCCCAAGTGCTTCCCTCCTGGTTCCATTTATACAACATGTTGTCCGATGGATCCCCTGCACACATCAGTTTACGAGACACAAGTGTCACTGATAAAAAAGTACTAGGACAGATTTAAACCCCTGTCTGATACAGAGATTGAATAATAATATGGCCTTAAAATAACAGAATGACAGTAAGAGTAGGTAGTGTTGATAGCGTGGACCACGTGGTCGTTTTGCCTACTAATGAGATTTCAGATTATGCGTGGCCCATGACTATGCGGACGGTGACGAATAAACGCAGCAGTGTTTCCGTTTTTTTCGGTGGTATTAGTCCGCTCAGACGAAAATCACTCAACTGTTGCATGCACCGCCCTGATATTTCGACAATTAGCTTGATCCACATATATGTCAATTCAAGCCATCTTCAGAGAGTTTACGCAGCGTAGTCTATCAAATTTATCTTGTATTTTAAAATCGCATTTTTTTCAAACCTGAGTCCACAAAACTCATACTGTCATTTCTACCAAATGAGCAAACCGATTAGAAGGTACCATGGGGTTGCAAAACACTGACCGCGAAACAGGACGTTTTTATTCTTGGCTAACAAATAACTGAATTCCTTCGAACTTGCCAGATGCATTTTTATCCGACTGATTTCACCCCCAAACCAAATGAGGAATGCGGTAGCTTTCAAACTCTCATCTTATGCTGAGTCCATGAATCCAAGTGTGTATTATGAGCTGGCCAATCAACTAAATGAATTTCTTGACAATATTCACTTAATCCGTTGTCGTGTTTGGCGACTGCGGCCGAATGTAGAATGACGTAACCTGACTATAAATGACCACAGTAAAATGATCACCAGTAATAGCCAGTCTTTCACTATTATGCGGGCGTCTTTCGAAAGGGAGTTGTCAGGATACACACTCGGTATCCGAATGTAAAGGCGTACACCTCCATCTTTCGTCCTGACTTCCCCAGGGATACCCAACCCACGGGGTGCGAGGCTCAGTTCTTTCAAAATGGGCATCAGATTTCGGGGCAAGATGAAAGCCTGGAACCATTTGTAAAAAAGACTATAAATCAAAGTTGCACCGTTCCGTTTTGCACCACTAAGGCAGAAACAAACCGCGATTTACAGTTTAACGAACTTGTTAAGGTGAGCCGAGCTAACAGAACCTTATGACATCGTTTCCAACTGTCTGTCACAACCGTTTTAAATAATTCACTCTGTTGAGTACACCCTTTAAAGACAGTCAACCGCCTACCTTTCAATCCTTACAAAGCTCGTTTCCAGCCACAACTTTGCAGTCTCGACTTACAACCAATCCATTGTTCGACTCCAACCTCAAAGACAAGATGTCAGTCCTCGCCCAGAATATGATTGTGTATTCATTTTCTAATATTTTTTAACAGAATGTGTTAAACCAAGATATGGCAACTTGTTGAGAGAATACGTGAGTACCTCTCTTGTCCGTTGAGTCGATAACTGAATCGCGGCACACAACTCACACCGGCCACGTGATAAATCCCACTGAGTTGTTTCACGTCGTCTATCAAGTACCTAATAGACTGTCAGTATCGAATCAACGGCATGGCTTGACTACAGTCGAAATAGCCGCAATGCGGCACCGTGCTGTCAAAAGGGATTCGCACCAGCGCTGGCTTTGCCCTGATCATGTGACACGAATCGATCGACCTAGTTATCTGAAAGCTCACAGCGGCCAATTAGACATGGTGTGCGCTGACAACCAGTCGTCCATGCTTTCTAATTCAGTTGCCAATCTAAGTTATCTTGTTCCATCATTTACCCGCTATTCTGACCAAAAGATACGTACTGACCTGATAACAATATATCCAAAAATCTTTAATGTTTGTCACTGTATTCCTGTTGAAATAATAAGACTATTCAAGCTATGACCGATCTGCCTGTTAGCCACATTTTTCCGAGTCAAGTTTGCAGACACATCTTTTATCGTAAGCGCATGAATTTGATCATGGAAAATTGCAGCTTCCCTGAGGCCATATCAATAACCTGGTAAAAAATGTGGTAAAAAATGCTGCACTTCGGTCTCTACTACGTGGAAGGAGTACTCCCTACCAAACCGTTTTTTAAACTTGTATCATCCAGTGATTTTCCAGCCTATAGTCATTTCGATCAATACAACAAGCTGATTTGTACCTCACAACCTTCCACTCCCTTTTGGCAAAGCTAATGCCAGTGCTAAAACCAGAAGCGGAGCGGCGTTGAAGTGCGCCCTTTGTAGCAACCATGAGGCACAAATCACAAAGTCTTCCATATTCGGGTGACATTTGTCTATTTGCTATGTGATTAGGACCAGTTTCAAGCCAAACCAATCCAGGGTGAAAACCCGTAACAGAAATAGTGTTTTCCTCGTTACGGCGTGGTATTTTAGATCAAAACCTGGTTCACCATCATTATTGTAGGGACAGAACCGGGTATAAATTAGAAAAATTGCGCAAAAATTGCCAAAAAGGGCGAAACCGGTTGTGGGCTGTCGACGGATTTTCAGTAACCTTATGAGTAGTACATTACAAATATACATGTATCGCGATACCTCGAATATCGTAGCGACTGAAACATGAGACAGCCTGGTGCAGCACATTCAGTTGCCTGAGAACATCACAAACGAGAGATTCAGCTGGGTTCCAGGTGAGTCTCTCGAGAAAACCAGATTACTTTGCAAATGAGTGTATATTCGCTAATCCCGTGCAATTTGGTTTCAAGTAGAACATAAGGTTGACGGAAACCCGGGGACTGCACCTACCTGATGAGCACCAAGAAGGGCGAAACCGGTCGTGGGCCATCGACAGATTTTCAACAACCTTATGAGTAGTGCATTACAAAAATTGCACAGGTTTGTGGTTGGCTGCGTTCTCAGCTTTTGTGTTGATTAGAAAGCCGTTTTTAAACATGTAACTCCCCTTCCAAATTATAAACTCCTGGGAAGCTACCGCGTCTAATGATTTGATACAAAGTACTGTTTGTTGATGATCGCCCCTTCTTCCATCCGTTTGTGTTGTCTAGTGTGTGACGTCTATTTGTCATTTAAAAAATCTGCCATCAATAGATAGATAGCCTGACATACATTTTGCAAATGGTACGCTCTGCACACACACACACACACACACGCGTAACGTGTACTCTGTCCAAATAATCGAAAAAAAGGCGAAAAGTTATATAAATAGACTGTGTAAACGAGAGACGGGACAGTGGACTGTACGAGAAACCGGAATAATTGCGTGTTGTAACAATGTTGCCTCCATTGAACCGACAAAAGTGAATCAACATTGTCCGTAATCGCGAACACTACGTGTAAATGCGGAGGAGGATATGTTAATAAAGTCCCGCGGAAATGTTATTTAGACCGTTTAGTCGATCGAAAGTCGGGTCGAGACAAAGCACCCGGGTGTACTTTTACTATTCTACCCGAACCTCCATTACAGCAACAGATGATTCACGCAAAGCACGGTAAAATTCCTGTGCCGTTTGTTACTGCTGCAGCGTAAGCAGGGTAAATCGATCAAAGGCAGCACTGGTACATCTTGTCTGAGGTCTACGGTGATCCGTATGAACATTCTCATTCCACAGGGAAATCGGTTAACTATGTCTCGCTGGTAGTCACTGTATATCTGGCGCGATGCATTAGTGACCACCGTCAGTAGCGCATAGCCCTGCACTATTGCCATTCCTCAGATTTTAAACAATTTTCATCAACTGCAATGACAACCATAAAACTATATCATTGATAGGTTCCACGGCGAAACAGACTGAGAAACATGGCGAACGTAGTTTATTAAGAGTGCGAAGAAAATGTGAGCAATCATTTCATTGGGTGTTGATCACATGACTGTTGATCTGTTCGCCAAGCTTGGCAATTGGCTTGCAAACGTTTGGCCACCAGACAAGGAGACATCATTAGTGCGCAGCTGGCGATCCCATTGGTGTCCCTTGTAGGCCGCACTGAGCATTGTGCCACAGTCGGCGAGGCAATTATTGGCGGACTGATTCCCTACGTTTACAAGCTTTATACGAAATGCTTTATACGAAATTTTGGCTGGATTTTCTAAGTGACGTTCTTCAGGTGGCAGTATGTCCCTCACTGGAGCACAGTGTAGACGCTCAAAGTTTACCGGAGCAAACAGGGCTACCGAATCCACCTACTCGCCCATCTTAACTCCAAAAAATCTTTAGAATTATCACATAGGACGCTGTTTGAATTTGAGTTGTTATCCGACCAAACGTAAGTCAATTTGTTCTTTATCGGCACATTAGTATGGGATGAAAATCTTTGACGGAGACGTTTTCACGGTGTAAAGTTTCAAATACGCGATTTTACGAAGTTTCTGTGGTAAAACCCCTTTGGGTCCCCTTCGGTTGACCGCGAGCGAGAGCAGTCAACGCGGGTTCAGCGGAACCACAAATATTTGTCTATCAGTGCCTTAAAAATATATAAAAATCTTGATGGGAGCATGAAGATGTACGATAATGGGGCACATAAACAGTCAGTTTTATAGAGTACACAGCCAAATTTTATTATTTGCTCCTACTTTGTTGCTCAACGTTTTGCGAGTCTCATTTCAACCTTTGTATTACTGTCATTGATTTGGACATTAGAATTCTGATCGTTTGTTCTCAACTTGCCTTTAAGTGGAATGAACTCACGAACCCAGATTAAACATCCCTCTCACTATACTCATCGTCTTACTCGATCACCGATTTCGCCTTTCAGAATCCGTTATCCAAAACATTCGATATTATGAATAAAGTTACTTGAAATGGATGGAAATTATAAATGAGCATGGGACTCGGTGCCATCTGCATACGGGTTGTAGCCGGCGATGGTGGTGCAATTTATAGTGAAATTTGCTAGTTCGTATGTCGCTGGTACAAATTACAAAGTGCGTTTAAAGATGATGAAAACGTCAGTGAAGAATCCCCTGTGCTTTTTCATAAAGGAAACTACTCACAAGTTTGCTGAAAACTCTTCGAAAGCCCACAGTTCAGCTGAGTCTCTCGTGAAAACCGAACTGATTTGCAAATGGGTGCATTTCTCAAAAGCAGTCCTCGGGTTCAAGTAGAACATGAGGCTGAGAGAAACTCGGGGACTGCGCCTACCTGATGAGCCCCAAACAGGGCGAAACCGGTCGTGGTCTGCTGAAGAGTTTTCAGCAACCTGTAAGTAGTTTCCTTTATGAAAATATACTGTGATATCTCGAATATCGTGCCAACTGAATCATGAGGCAGCCTGTGTGCAGCACATTCAGTTGTAGAATATCATGAACGAGAGATTCATTTGAGTCTCTCGTGAATTCCAAATTGATTTGCAAATGAGTCTATTTCTTGAAATCCCTTGTACTGTTTCTATCAGGCTAACATCATCTCTGTAAACGAATAACATCCTAATACAAGGACTGATTAAGGTTGCAATTTGTACAGTTACTTTAGAAACATCCATTAGGGTATATATAACATTACAGAATAAATAGCAAAAGCAGTAGCATTGGGCTTAACGAGAATTTTATTAACACTTGAAAAACAATGAAATTGTTCAGCTGTACCACCCTTTCGGTGCCTAACTGCCATGTCACCCGAAGGAAGCACGAGGGCTGGGATAACGCCAGGTTGCCCAAGCCTAGATAGGATAACCAGGTCTTGACACTCGGTGGGACAGGCCGGCCAGAGTAGACATCAGTGCAGAAATAAGTCGTGAAGATTTTCAATAGTAATCATTGGTCAGACAGATAATAGGATGCAACAGTCTGATAAGATCAGCTGATGCTATACGATAACGTGTCGGTTAACGCTCAACTTGTGCACTCCCGAGACAGATGTAACGGAAACACACGCATTGCGACCGGTTCGTTTAGAAGCAGATTTTTAGTTCCCTTTTGTTTACATTCACCGCCAGGATTAAAACTGGATGAAATGAAGGCAACCAGACCCTCTCTAGCAACATGTAAGACCAGGTGTATGGTGACATGCCTGTATATCAGATCACAGAAACCAACGACTATTTTACGATGCAAGGGGTCTAAAAATTCTGAATTTTACTATCTATTTAGCCGTCGAAGTTCACCTCTCTCCTGTGACTGAATCACACCACGGGGCACTTTTGAGGTGCCCAGCTCTGAGACGGCCATCAGCACCGGTCAGCCAGTGCACATACATTATTTAAACTCGCTCCGAACCGGAATCCTGAATTTTACTATCTGTTTAGCCGTCGAAGTTCACCTATCTCCTGTGACTGAGTCACACTACGGGGCTCTTTTGAGATGCCCAGCGCTGAGACGGCCATCGGCACCGGTCAGCCAGTGTACATACATTATTTAAACTCGCTCCGAACCGGAATTCCGTAAATATCTTGCACGTGTTTATCGGTCCAATTACTCGCCAGTTTTTTTAGCCAAAAGCTCTGCACACTCCA